CAATTTCACCAAGTCATAAGTGTGATTATCATGCAAGGATTTCATCTCATCTTGCATTGCATCCAACCACTGTTGCTTTTCTTCACTTTCCAAAGCCTCTTCAAAACATTCAGGTTCTCCACCATCAGTCAAGATCACATACTCATCAGAAGAATACCTTGTTGAAGGTTGTCTCTGTCTATTAGACCTCCTGAGTTGAACTTGATGTGGTTCAGGTGCATCATCAATATTCTCATCATGAGAAATTTCATGATAAATGGGTGTTTAAAGGAGATGTACCCCCAACTCCTGAACCGACAACCGATGAGGACGGTGTTCCGTCACATGATGAGGATCAACCACCACAAGTGGAGGCTGAACCTGGCAGAGAGCCAGAAGCGTAGTTTAATTAGGTTTTTACAATTCTGTTTTTGGATTTTAAGTTCAATGTGGTTGTAATAGTTTAATTCTGGAACAATTTACTTGCTTTAAATTGTTGAACATTTAATTTCTGGTGAATTTGAAGTTTATTTTGATATGATGGTTTGATTGTGATTTCAAATTGTGATTTGGATGGTTGGTGCATTGATGCTCTGTTTTTGAGCATATTTTGTTGCTGTTCTGTTTTAAAAAAAAATTATATATCTTGTGTGCAAATTGAGTCATGGTTGATTGTTGAACATAATACTCTGTTTTGGGTTGAAGCATTATGAGCCGTTATTTGTATCTTGGTTGATTAAATAATTCTGGCTGAGATGGTGTTGTTCACTGAGATTGAACATAATGCCTATGTTATACTTGGTTTGGTATGATTCTAAGAACCCTCTCAAGCAATGTCCTGTTCATCCTCTCTTCTAAACAATTCAACTAAGGAGTTTTAGGAGTCTTCTCATGTGCAATACCATGTTGCTTGCAATAAACATCAAAGGGTCCACAATACTCATCACCATTGTTAGTACGAATGCGTTTCAGCTTCTTCCCTGACTGTCTTTCAACCAAGGCATGAAATTTTTTGAACCTCTCCAACACCTGGTCTTTTCCCTGCAAAGCATGGACCCATAGTTTCCTGGAATAATCATCAATAAAGGTAACAAAGTAAAGTGCACCACTAAAGGATTTCACCTTCAATGGACCACAAACATCAAAATGTATCAATTGCAACAACTTTGACTTCCTTGAGGGAGGATGCTTCTTGAAGGATACTCTGGTTTGCTTGCCATCCATGCAATGAGAACATTTCTCCAATTCTGCACTCTTTAACCCTTGAAGAACATCCATTTTAGCTAAGCAATTCAATCCCTTTTCACTGATATGACTAAGCCTTTGGTGCCACAAAGATGCCTCCATATCCATGGCATTCACACTGTCTTTAGCAACCAAAGCTTTTGTCCAATACAGTTTGGAATTTTTCTCCCATCTAGCCACAACCAAGTTACCTTTGGTGAGTTTCCACTTTCCAGAACCAAAGTGGTTATCATAACCACCATCATCAAGTATCTGCATAGAGATCAAATTAAAACGGACATTAGGAGCATGTTTGACTCCTCTAAGCAACAACTGCATTCCCATGTTGGTTTGCAGGCAAACATCACCAACACCAATCACTTTAGACACACCATCATTACCCATCTTCAACACTCCAAAATCACCAGAAGTGTAAGATGTGAAGAACTCCTTCCTTGATATAACATGCAGTGTAGCACCATTATCAACAATCCACATGCTCTCATCTGATACAAGATTAACTGACTCATGGTCACTGAGAATAACAAGATCACCACAAGTAGCAGTAGCAACACGATCATCATCATCATG